CACTGTAAAGGGAAGCCAACCCCAAAAGGTGGATTAAATATCATTATTTTTCCATGTCCTTTCTCCATATAGATTATCTATCAACGCCTTACGGACTACCTCCCCATGCTGATAAATCTCTTCATGCTGAAGGAAGCAGCTAATACATTGCGGCTTCAGATGCTAGAATTGAGGAACGGGGCAGATGTGGTCAAACTGTTGTGTGAAGACTCAGAGCGAGAACACAAGAGAGCTGAGCTAAAGCAGCGAATGGAACGCCTCACACAAGCTCAAGAACTACTAAGCAACAGACTCTGAGACATCTTTATCAAACATAAGGGATACACAGAAATTATGCATCAGGGCTAGTTATTAAATTATGCATAAATTGGCTAGCGAATATACTATAATTACCTTATAATTGCGATAATTAACCTTATTTCAGATTAGTAATTCTCAGTTAAATCAGTAACAATTAATATTAGATACATTGTTTAAATCTTGGCTGAATTGAAATTGTACGTCTAAGGATGTCAAATTGGCTTATATTATCAAACCAATTATTTCTGCTTCAGGCATTCCTGTAGATCAAACAGTAGACCATAAAGATAGCCACATCATGATCATGGGTTCAATTTCTATGGAAAGCATTACTTTTGATACAAGTTTCTGCCAAATGCATACCTTTAAATTGAATCCACATCTTAAATTATGTTTGGATTTTAACAATATTCTTGTTCTTATTGAGAATTAATAGAGGTTTAGCTCTTGTTATTATTGAGGTTTTATTGAAAATTTTAAATCACCATTATTGTAATTAATGGTTCCTTAGTTGGGTAATTGACCCTTGACTTTTTAGTATATTTTTCTCTGGCTGTTTGAACAGTGCATTTAAAACACACATGTATAACCCAGAATCAAATAAAATCAAATTGTCGTCATCAGTGGCCTAATTTCCTGATCACTAAGTCTATTCATTAATATAAAGTGTGTTGTGTCATTAATACGTGTCACAGTCACCAGCTCAGCCACCCTCAGCACTATATTTCCTAGTATTCTTCATGCTCACCACCAACACACACTCCTCAATCACCTGCAAGAAGTCACCTTTATTATCACTCATCAGTGTAATGGTTTTGTTGTGATGACGAAATATTCAAGGAGGCTCTGGGTGCACGCAGGATATCTTGTATCAGAAGGTTTTATTAGCTTATATCAGACGCAACATCAGTGTTAACTCTTCAGTAGCAAACTACACCCTGAACTTTCTAGAGCTTATTTGCATAAACTTTACTGACAAGTGCTATAGCCAATAAGAACACATGATGCAATATCTCTGGGATGTGATTGGTTCTTAGCATAACATAAGAATACTACAATCAGAACTCACTGTAGCTGTGTCCCAATTCAGGGACTGCATTCTCCGAGGGTCGTATTTGAAGGCTTATTGCGTCACAGCGGCACGTCGAAGGGTGTCCCAATTCGAAGAATCCTTTGCTGCTGTCAGTTTACTTACAGTCAGTTTCTCTATAAACTAGCCTATGTAAAATCACACACTGGTAATATTTGAAACCCAAAACTTATATTTAAAAGTGTAATCTGCTAATTTCACAATGAATTCTGGGTTATAGGCGAGGCTAAGAACGATCCTTCTGATGTTTTCCTGCATTCACAGGAAAAGAAGGACGTGTTTGCAGGCCACATTTTGAAGGAGCCTTCGAAGGACCTTCGCATTGGGACAACCTTCATCGTCCGCGGCTATACTTTCCACTTTTACTGTGGGAGTGGGACTTAGAGAATACACATATGACCCGAAGGATGCATATGGAGAGTGGGGTGTCCAGCTGCAAGTGGAATATTTCAACCCCAGGGGTGGCAAGGTGGCTTGCCGAGGGAAAGACACATGCTCAGGGAGGCTTACAGTGGAAATACACATGTGGGGGTTTGCTTCGTTAACGGAGTATGCGTGCAGGTCCCCTACCCTCTTGATGGAGGCCAATGCAATCATAAGCGCTGTCTTCATTGACAGGAACTTAAGCTCCACGTTTGAGGGGGTGAAACCGTGACATCTACACATTTTCCAAAGTGGACCAACGTGATTATTTCACGTCTTGTCGGCTGGAGAAATGTTGTTTTGGCCACTTTGGTTGATATAATCACAACAATTTAACGTAAGCAAGAATAGGATTTGAACTCAGGTCTTCTTGAATGAAGCCCAACGCTTTATCAACTGAGCCACTGAGTCTGTTGAGTTCAAAGTTGTATTGGATGTATTTTTATTGCGGGTTATTTGTTGGAAAAATAAATATAGAAAGAATTTGACACAAGAGGGCAGTATAGCCCTATTTATGGTTTTGAGTTTAAACTATCACTGCAGTTAAACCGTGACATCTACACGTTTTCCAAAGTGGACCAACGTGATTATTTCACGTCTTGTCGTGATACCGGGTTGGGCACTTGAAGTTACAGGAGTCCCGTTGCTAAGCAACGGAACTAGGTCGAGTATTTAAAAGGTTATGGTTAACATGGTTAACGTGGTTTAACATCAATGTAATACGTTGTTGTAGCGTACCTTTTGCTTAAACGAGGAGCTGGGGGACACCGGAAAAACAGAGACGGACAGTATCGGAGTACATTTACTTGAGTACAGTACTTAAGTACAATTTTGAAGGATCTGTACTTTACTCGAGTATCATTTTTGGGGAGTACTCATGACTTCTCTACAACCCTTTTACATTTACTTACATTATATTTAAATTAAGGTTATTCGTTGGCATTGTGTATGAACATTTCATCCTTAAAACTTTTTAATTTTACAAAGGCTTTTGTGGTGGAAAAAGGTTCTTTGGGAAACCAAAAATAGTTTTTCTATGGCATTGCTGTGAAAACCCATGTTGTTTTTTAAGAATCTGCGAGTAGGCCTATATGTACATCCAGATCAGATGTACTGAGTTTAGTGCATTGACACTAGAGGTTCACCAAAGGGCCAATCAACCCCAAAAGGCTCAAATATCTTCATTTTTCAAGTGAATGCTATCGTAATTCATGTCCAATCTCAATGGATTGTCTATCAACGCCTTACAGACTATGTGCCCATGCTCATAAATCTCTTCATGCTGAAGGAAGCAGCTAAGCAGCTTCAAATGCTGGAATTGTTGCTGATCCCCGTGTGTTCCCCGTGTTCCTGATCAAACAGTAGACTATCCTTGGTTAAATTCTCAAGGAGTGCATTAACTGCACACAAATATCTTGAATGCAATGCAAGTCTGTCAAATCTGCCAACTGCACATAGGCCTAACTTATTTTTAAATTTAAATGTAATTAAATGTTATGAAATTTTCACTCAACGTTTATACTGTACATGCAACAAAGGTTTCAGAGCCAGAATCTCTAGGGCCTTTCCCAATTCTGTTCCCTTCTCACCTCTCTCAAAAACTTAAATATGTTTAAAAATCAAAAATCCGCCCAATTTATTAACGAATTTATTAATTATTATTTCGTTTTGAACTATGCTTTATTAATGATTGTTGCCAAAATCAAAAATTAGATTATTTTTAATTATTAAAAATCCCATTATTTATATGAAAAAGTTAATAATTGTATTTAGCGTTAGGTTGTGCTCCGCTCTCCCTCAGGTTTTGGAAGTGTTTTTTTTCTTCTTTCATCTCTGCAAAACGGACTTCAAGGTATAGCAGGAGATGGACTAAAAATGAACTTACTGTCAGATTCTGGAAGTTGAATTAATGTATGGACCTGTACTGCACCTCATCATGTGATTCTTATTTAGTGGGGGTCATTTTTTAGGATTCTTTACCTCTCTCTCTCTCTCTCTGGCTTATTTTTGTCTGTAAAAGTAAACTTGCCCAATAATTATGCACACCTGAATATAAGACTTTTTTTTTTATTTCCAGCCTTCATGAACAATTATTTATCACTTATAATGATTAAATACAAAATTAATTTAAGTTATTAAGATTAATGTGGTTTGGAATTGGTAAACTGTTTCCTGGAGAAAAAAAAAATATGTTCAGAAAATCAACTCTGGCGAAATCTTTGCGCTCTAATTGGTTTGTTTCAGAATCAGACTGACTGTCAGACTATCCCACTTTTGATTTCAGCGAATCAAAATTGTTTTTAAATATTGTGGCCTTGCGTGATTGGACCGTTCTCGACTTTCAAGGTAAATCGACTTTATCTTAAACAAAAAACCTTTCTCACGGCGTTCAAACGAAGAAAAAATAAAAATGATGGAGCTTGGACTGAGTTTGGCTAGCTGGATGTGATGTAAGTCACACTTTTTATTGTTTTACCCTATTTCAAAGTCCTGTCACGTGTTGTGGGCTGCAGTTTAACTTGAGGCGATCGATGGGGTTCAAGCACAATCGCTTGTGTTGATGATGATATATATTAGTTATACATTCTTTTCAAATAAAATATGGAAGTATTAATATGTCCTATATAAAAGTAGACAATTGGTGCATCTTCTTCAATTGTTCATTATGTCATGTCTGACTTGGCAGATAACGTAAAAAAAAAATAGTATAGTTTTTTCAAACTCATTATTGGGCTTTATTCAACTTATGAAACAACAATTAATGTATATGCTATTCTGATTTCAAGTTATTATAACGATTCCTTTTGTGATCTTTAAGTATTTACTATTCCTCTGGTGGACAACATTTTATTATTTCATTGCATTGACATAAATGTCTGATAGCCTACTTTTTTGTACGATTGAAATAGTTTAAATGTATTTTTTATTACTGATATAATAATATATCCTCAAATTCAGTTATTCGTGCTTTAACCATAGACTGTAAAAAAGGCTTTAACATATTATGTTTAGCTCAGTAGTAATGACACATGATTATATCACTTGTTAAATTGTTATTTTTAACGACAACATTCAGTCCTGTATTCAGTTTGTTTAGATTCGATGTGCGCCCAAGCTTATGACGTAAAGAATTCCAATTGCAAAAAACGTCACAGTCAAGAGCGCTTGCAGTTGATTGTTTGAGAGACGAGGCGAATTCAGAGACTTGCTGAATATTATATTCTTGCTGACTTGCTGAATATTATATTCTTGCTGACTTGCTGAATATTATATTCTTGCTGACTTGCTGAATATTTTCTGCGCTATTGCTGTTTGAAGGAAGATGTCAGTCCCGACCCAGAGCCAGGATTCTTCTGTGTCCACAGGTCCGACTCACAAGAGAGTCAGATGGGCGGAGAGCGATGGACAGATGGATGATGGACATCCGCCCACTTCATCCAAATGCTCTCGCAGAGGTCAGAATAGGTTTTTATTATAGTGAATAAATGATTTGTCATTGAAAATAGAAAGTTGATTGTGTAATTTTGGGTGGTGTGACCACTGACATCGATTAGTAATATTAATAAAAATGTCTGATTATTCCAGCCTCAGGCCGCTTCAGATACAGGAGAGCTGCTTCCACACTTTCTCCATCGGACATCATGTCCACACCATCTTTGTCCAGATCCGACAACTTCCAAGAGTTGATGTGTCCTCCACTGCCTGGTCAAGTTCCCGTCGAGCCAAGCGACACATCTAACGTCGTCCCGACTGCTCATGGTGCCGTGGAGGCTTCATCTGTGAACAAGAGCTCGACAGGTGAGACTAGAATATTTTAGTTGGACAAAATGTTCTTAGAATATATTTTTGTTGAGGAACTCACTCGTGCTGTCTGACACACACCCGAAAACACGTACGCACAATCTCGAAACGAGTTGTGTTTCACAACGTATTGCGTTTGAATGGTCAAATACTGACAAAATTGTCCAAATGGCCGTTGTGACCCGGTGTTCATGTAAACAGTGTCGGTTAAGTTATGCCTTTAATAAGACATTGCTGTATTTAATAAAATCAATGTTTATTTAAATATAGGCTATTATATTTAATAGAAAATAAATGTGAAATATATTTTAAGACACGATGGCTCATATGACCTTTACCATTGCCAGAACTGTGCCAAATGAGGCCTGGAAATGTATGCTCTATTTTTAATAAAAGATACAAAAAATACAAATATCGTTATCGTGAAATAAATTTAATAATCTATTATTAGATTATATTGTGAAAGAAACTTTTGGTCACCCCTAAGGTACATTTATGCAGATATTGAGCAGAAACAGGGCGTCGTCAGCTTTGATAGCTTGGAAATATTTGCGTTACTTTGGATTTGTGTAATTAAAGATAAATTTAACAGTTAAATGGAAGTTATATCATTATATCATTGTTTAATGTGAGGTCAGAGTTTCTAATTTTTGTTTATGCTTACATTTTTTCAGAAAAACCCACAAAACGTAAGAAGATTCGTTCGTTCCTCAGGAACGTGTGGACGGCTGTGAAGAGTATGTCCCGCTGCTCTTCTGACAGTAAAGCTGTGGATGTTGTGGAGCCTTTCGTTCCTCCACTAGATCTGGACTCGGAGCCAGATTCTGATCCAGATCAGTCCGGTGTCGAGCCAAATCATGGTGAATATGCCGTCCTTTTTTCTCAAACGTTGTTTTAAACAGTATTATCGTTTTGTTCTCCACTAAATATATCTTGAGGCTTGTTTTCAGAATATTAATAAAAATGTTTCATTTGTCACATTAAAAAATGTTAAAAATTATTCCCGCCTCAGGCCGCTTCGGATACAGGAGAGCTGCTTCCACACTTTCTCCACCGGACATCATGTCCACACCATCTTTGTCCCGCTCTGTGGGGAAGGTGGAGAGGGAGTTACGTGGGTTGTCGAGCAGCAGCAGAGGCACGTACATCATCGAGAAGAGGAGCAGTAACATCAGATCTGAGAGCCAACATGAACAGGGCAGTGATGGAAACAGTAGTTCGTCCAGATCCGAGATCCTCAACAGGAGTTTGTCCAGATCCGACAGTCTCCAAGAGTTGATGTGTCCTCCACTGCCCGGTCAAGTTCCCGTCGAGCCAAGCGACACCTCTAACGTCCCGACTGCTCATGGTGCCGTGGAGGCTTCATCTGTGAACAAGAGCTCGACAGGTGAGACTCTGATCACATTTACTGTTTCTCAGCAAAGATTTTCTGAAATATTTTAGTTGGACAAAATGTTCTTTTGTTAAGGAACTCACTCGTGCTGTCTGACACACACCAGAAAACACGTACGCACAATCTCGAAACGTGAAAATTGTCCAAATGGCCGTTGTGACCCGGTGTTAATGTAAACAGTGTCGGTTAAGTTAAGTCTTTAATAAGACATTGCTGTATTTAATAAAATCAATGTTTATTTAAATATAGGCTATTATATTTAATAGAAAATAAATGTGAAATATATTTTAAAGACATCATATGACCTTTACCATTGCCAGAACTGTGCCAAATGAGGCCTGGAAATGTATGCTCTATTTTTAAAAAAAGATACAAAAAATAAAATATCGTTATCGTGAAATAAATTTAATAATCTATTATTACATAATATTGTGAAAGAAACTTTTGGTCACCCCTGAGGGACATTTATGCGTCGTCAGCTTTGATAGCTTGGAAATATTTGCGTTAATGTGTCATTAAAGATAAATTTAACAGCTAAATGGAAGTTATATCATTATATCATTGTTTAATGTGAGGTCAGAGTTTCTAATTTTTGTTTATGCTTACATTTTTTCAGAAAAACCCACAAAACGTAAGAAGATTCGTTCGTTCCTCAGGAACGTGTGGACGGCTGTGAAGAGTATGTCCCGCTGCTCTTCTGACAGTAAAGCTGTGGATGTTGTGGAGCCTTTCGTTCCTCCACTAGATCTGGACTCGGAGCCAGATTCTGATCCAGATCAGTCCGGTGTCGAGCCAAATCATGGTGAATATGCCGTCCTTTTTTCTCAAACGTTGTTTTAAACAGTATTATCGTCTTGTTCTCCACTAAATATATCTTGAGGCTTGTTTTCAGAATATTAATATAATTTTTTCGACCAGCACTGATATCTTTAATATAAAACAAAGGATCTAGCAAGCTCATATATTTCTCTTATTTTTCTGTTTGTTTTTCAGACTCCTTCGAGACTCTCTATGACGCGGGAGAGATGATTGGACACGGAGGATACGGAAGAGTGTTCAAAGGAACACGGAAATTTGACGGCGAAAAGGTTTTTGCTGATTTTCCTAAATTGAAACATCAAAACATATTTATTACACATGGTTTAATACTTAGATGCTCAAATCGTAAATGTTATGTGCAAGGTCAGCCGCTTGAATGCTGTTACTGTTATTAAATACTGTTTCTTTTTTCATTTTTGCAGGTTGCCATCAAGCGGATGCGCAAGACTTCTGACGATCTTTATCTTGCTATTGTAAGTTGGCTAAAAGCTGAATGTGTATTTAGTTGTTGAAGTGTTGATTACTGTAGTTAAAGGGTTAGTTCACCCAAAAATGACAATTCTGTCAGTATTTACTCACCCTCATGTTGTTCCAAACCTCTATGTGTTTATTTGTTCAGCTGAACACAAAGGAAGATATTTGGAAGAATGTTTTAATCAAACAGATCTCATTCCCCATTGACTAGTCAATGGGGAATGAGATCTGTTTGATTAAAACATTTGTTTTAGATCTGTTTGATTAAAACATTCTTCCAAATATCTTCCTTTGTGTTCAGCCGAACAAATAAACACATAGAGGTTTGGAACAACATGAGGGTGAGTAAATACTGACAGAATTTTCATTTTTGGGTGAACTAACCCTTTAATACACCTGTAGGAAGCATTAGGTGTAAATGTTGTACACAAACAAACAAATATTTTCTTCAGATTTGTACCCAGCTAAACTTCTGTCTTTTCTCCATCTCCAGCCTGGGCGTCCCGAACCTGTCATCACAGAAGTGGCTCTGCTGCTGATGATGAGGCAAGAACCTATAAGCCCCTACGCCATTCAACTACATGATTGGTTTGAACACCCTCGGAAATTCACCCTTGTGATGGAGTATCCCGAGCCCTGCGAGAGCTTGTTTGACTTCATCTATAATAATCCTCAACTGGACGAAACAACAGCACGGGTCATCATGCGACAGGCTGTGCTGGCAGTTCAACACTGCATTGAGCATGGCGTCTTTCACAATGACATTCATGCGGACAATTTCCTGTTGAAGAAAGACACGTTAGAGCTCAAGTTGATAGACTTTGGCTCTGGACAGCTACTTAGTAGTGATGGCTATGACAGCGACGTTTATATTGGTGAGTATCTTGGGAGTTTGGAAACCTGAATGTAACGACTTTCTGATTCTTTGACACTTAAAAAATGTTCAACAATGCACAAATGTCTTGCTTACAGGAGTACTGGAGTACTGCCCACCTGAAGTCATCTCAGAATCTCGATTTCACGCCATCCCAACAAATGTCTGGTCTTTAGGGGTGTTGCTCTATGAGATGGTGAACACATGTCTTCCAGAGGAAATGGAAAAGGGCAAAATTACATTTCAGAACGCCAACTTATCCAACGGTGAGTGAATAATATTCTTTAAAAAGGAAATAGCGTAATGACGTACTGTATGACGCACAGAACGAGCTGTTCTGTGAGCAACCACACACGACGTTTAGGCTTTGCGACTTGTTTGAAATATGCTTTATTTTTTGTAATTCCCTAAGGTGCCACTAGTCCAGCAGAAAAATACATACTTCATCTTTTAAGGAAACACATTACATTATATTTTTCATGTTTCAGATGCTGCTTTCATAAATGCCTACATTAGTGTTATATGGTCATGACTAACCAGCTTTATCCTTATTAAAATGTGTACAGAATGCTGTGATCTGATTATCCAGTGCCTAACCCTGGATCCAACTAAACGTCCGACGTTAGAGCAGATCTTACAACATGGATGGTTTAGAGATGACCTACTGTAGAATGGAGAAGTTCAGGAGATTTAGGAGATCAGAGATTTCAGGTTCGTTTATAAAGAGCTTTATACAATACAGATTGTTTCAAAGCATCTTCACGGTAATACACAGAAAATGAACAGAATCAATTAGTAAAACAGAATTGAATTCGGCTGTAAAGAAGCTCTAAAAGAGACATCCATGTTCATATAATCTTTGTATTGGATATGAATGAACTTTTTTGGCTTGCTGAAGTCCAGCCCAAAGACTGGAATGTAATAGACTGTCAGCGTGAATAATTGTTTAGCTTTTCTTCCTCAGGGTTGGACTCACACCATCCAGTCTACAAAAAAAAAAACACTGGTTGAAACGCAGGATTGGATGGATATCATCTTTTACCAGAAAGATCAGAGCCTGTCCACGTCTGAGCAAGAACATTACTGAAGACTGGTGAGAAGTTAGTTCATGTCATCACAGCCACATTTGCTTTGGTAAGTCAAGTCACTTTTATTTATATAGCGCTTTATACAATTCAGATTGTTTCAAAGCCGCTCTAAGGCCCCGTTCACAACGTCAGCGACTTTTGTTCGGGTCGCTAGTTCCCAATACTGTAGTGATTGGTCGGTCATGAACTATTAGTTAATTTTGAACAAATCTTTAAAATGACTTGTTCGCGACTTGACGGATTTTAATAAATGGAGAGATGACGATTGAGACCAGGCTGAAGAAGCGTGTTTGTATGAGTCTTCAGAGAAAAGACACCGGGATCTAAAATGTTGTTTTAATTATGTATTTAATAACGATTTAAATACAAAACGGTGAGTAGCGTCTAATAATTTATTTAAAAAATACACCGCTTATAAGGGGTACAGTGACTACCAGTATGGGTATGGTGCCGCGTGCGAGTAGTATAACAAAGCGTGTGTGCGGGGTTCGGGCTGGCATCCGGGCTACCGCCGAGCTATTTTACCCGGTGAACAGCTGGCAATTTGTTTAAGGTGAGTAACCTGCATTAAGGTGAGTAAAATGCATTTACCGAGCCTGGTAGGATTTAAAGGATATTATTTATCACATTTAAGTCAAATATAATGTATATTGTGTCATACGTTGAATTACCCACCATGTACTTGTTTTTACAGTTACATGTTTATCATATTCATAACCTATGTCATATAACTTTTTTTTTCTTTCTACTCTTGTTTGCTGTTTCTTCTATGTAGAATTCAGTATTTTATTTGAATAGCTCAACACTCGTGAACTTCTCCAGTGCTGAGGGTGCAGTTCCTTGGGAGCCACAGGCATGAAAGATTCTTCACAGAAGCAAACCAAAGGCTCTTTTAAGAGCCACCAATATTTGAATAAAAGAGAATCATTTAAAACAATGATATGCTGACTGCAAGTTTTTTTTTTTTTTTTATTTAACCTTTATTTTACCAGGAAAGTCCCATTGAGGTTAAAAACCTCTTTTTCAAGGGAGTCCTGGCCAAGAGGCAGCAAAAACACAATCAATTACATTTATAAAGGTTATACAACACAAATAATTAAAAACATTTACAATTTAAACAGGTCATTTCAGGTTCTCTCAATCTGGACTTAAAAGCATTTAAGGAAATAAGTTCAGATAATTTCAAGTCTTTTTGCAAAAAATTCCACGCAAAAGGGGCGGAGTAAACAAAAGCCCTTTTTCCCAGTTCTGTACAGGCAAATGGAACAAAGAGCAGCAAGTGATCATCTGATCGCAATGAATAAGAACCAACACTTCTCCATGTGATTAAACTACTGATGTAGGATGGCAACAGACCAAGCATGGCCTTATAGATAAAAATATGCCAATGCCCTGATCTCCTGTTGGACAACGATGGCCATCCCACTCTGGAATATAATTCACAATGATGGGCAATTCACATGTCCATGCAAATAAATCTTATTGTGAACACACTCTAATAGGCTATGAACTGTAATATGTACTAAATTGTTTTATATATCATATGATGAGGGTAAATGTAGTAAATAATTATCTAATTAATTATGTAACAATCAAATGATGAAATAATTAGAATTTTTCAGCAAATTATTCTCTTAACAATCCCAAAAAGGAACAGATTTAAAACTAAAGCATGTGACTTATGAACACTGACTGCCCGAGGTATAGCTAACAGGACCATGAGGGCAAATAAGCTTACTAACACCCCTCACGGCCTTCTGTACCCAAACCGTTCTCACGGAAATTCGTACGAATTTGTTTTACGAGGTGGCTAACTCATACGAATTCGTATGATTTTCGCTACTTCGTACATATTTTACGAGTTACCAAATTCATATGAATTCGTACATATGACCAGTGTAGGGTGTAACTAATTACTAAGTAATTAGTTACTGTAATTTAATTACTTTTCCCTTGAAAATGTAAAGTAAGGGATTACTCTTCATTTATCTGTAATTTATTTACAGTTACTTTTGATGTAATTGAGGTAAATACTGTGTATAGATCAATCCGATCTCAAAGCGATTCGTATGCATTTTATGAGGTGTCTACATTGTATGACCGCACTCGTACAAATTCGTATGAATTATTGTAAAATATGTATGAAAAAAGTGTGAAATGTCATGAGATCAGATGTAAGAGCCTGGTATGGGCTCTATGCACGGCGTTATTTCCGGTGAAGGATTAAGGATGCTCGATAACTTCCGCCGATCATAGAGTCCAATCCAATACTGAGAATTTATATTGAATTTTATACTCCATGGTTTGAAACGTTAGTCACAGAAACAGATAAAACAGACTCGTTGTGTTTATGCTTCTTTTTAAAATTATATTAAATAAACATAACTATATAAAATTACATATAAACGTATGTACGTTTCGTTTCAAAGACGGGAGGACAGTAAATATTGAAGACTCTGCCATAATCCCGTTTTCTCCGGTTTTCCTCCGCTTTAATCTACACAACCGGAAATGGACGAGCATCCTTACGTCAAATGCGGAACTTATTCGTGCATATAGCCCATTGTTTCATTTTATGAACACATTCTTTTGGTTACTTACGGTAATTAAGGCACCTGGTGGCGGTGGAGGAAGTGAGACTATATCATCTTCTCACCTGTGGGGTTCGTGAAGGAAGGAGAGGGGGTGACGGGGGAAGTCTTATTTTAGTTGATCGCTGTAGAACACGTCGTGTGATGCTGTCTGTGTTTGGAGACCATTTCATATGCAAGTGAAACAATTACTATGGATGGAATGTATTGGACACACAACCTTGTTCATTTTTAACACAACTAAATAAATCTACAAAACGCAATCTTTGGATTCAGGTTCATTTAAGCAAGCGCGTCTGGCAATAGTTTCCCCTACTCAGTCTCTCGGCCGACAAATTATTTTGGCTTTTGGATTGTCGCCCACATTTGTCAACAAAATCACGATAAACTTGGAAAAGAAACCACGCAAACGGAAGACCGTCATTCACTCACGGAGATACGGGATCGGCCATTGAACTCACACACACGGATCCATTTGAATATGCGGGAGAACGGCGGCCGGGCGAGAGCATCGCACACAAACAGTGGCGTTTCCTACTGTTATGGCTTGTTTTGGATGGTAGGTTACTGCCACATGAAGTTTGGTGTTGCTGTTGTTTGGAACGGGTCGATTGCCGCCGATCGTGTTTATGTTTGGAGCAAACAGCTGCTTATGTGTGTGTGGTGTGGCTTCAGCGCGTTGGATATCGTGCTTGCATAATCGCTGTGGCTATTGGTGTCGTTGGCTTTACGTTGGATTCATACTGCGATGTTTAGTTGCATCGAGATGAGTGGATCAAGGGCTGGTTCAACTTCATCTAATATGGAGAAAAGAAAAATCATTCTGACTGAAAGGCTCTGGCAAGCAGGATTGAGTCAATTCAAAAACAGCGTAAAAAGGATGTAGACAACTTAAAGAGACAGATGTTGTCTCTCAAAGAGCTCATGAGAGATGATAAAAATGCTTCACAAGTTAAAGCACAGTTTGATGTCCTCCTGCAATTATTTGAAAATGCCACTGCATTGCACACATCTTTGATTCCTTTGATCCCTCATGATGAACAGGAGAGACAAAATGCATGGTTCAAAAGCATCACTGAATACAGCCAAGGTTTTTTTTTGCGTATGCCAGAGTGTGGATTTCAGAAACCAATAGGCCTCGTTCAGAGCCAACTCATAATGTTGAGTGTGACCAGGAAGTTGTGTTAGGGGATGAAATTGGGATTTATGATGATGCAAAAAGGGGACAACAGCATCCATCTTCTCAACATGATGACCAGGACGACGTATTGCCACATGACAGTATATCAAACCTAAGCAGTAGAAAACAAGGTTCAAAATCAAATGTTTCCACTACTTCATCTGCACGTCTAAGAGCAGAGGCTGAAATGGCTGTTCTGCTTGCCCGTCAAAGTTTGCTGAAGGAAGGAAAAACATTGTCTTGAAGAGCAGGAAGAGAAACTAAGACAACAAAAGGAACAACTTCAGCTTAAAGCCGATATAGCTGCATCAGAGGCTAAATTGAGCGTTTTGAGGACCTCTGGATCTAGTGTGCAGAGTGTTGCTTCTCACCGATCCAATGGCATGGAGTCATATTTTAAGAAAAGAGGAAACATGGTTTAAACTCTTAACATTGATGCAGATACTTTTGTTCCACAACTTGAAAAGGAAAAACCAGCTATTGACATTATGGATTCACAGCTTGGAAGGCAAAAACCGAAAGGAGCAGGCAATACCACCCATCTCCAGCAGAGGCCCTTAGAGCTTATGAGAAAGTTCCGAATTCCGAAAAATACAACACCGCCTCCAGTGTCTCACCATGGAGATGTTCATACGTCCTTTTCCATGAACCCTAACAGTGAGCAGAACCAAATGGTGTCTATAATGAAAAAAACAGAATGAGATAACATCAATGCTAGTGCATCAGCAATGTCTTTTATCGCTGCCTAAAAGAAATATCCAAATATTTGATGGCGACCCTCTACAGTACCATGCTTTCATGCGGTCTTTTGAACAAGTAATTGAGGAAAAGACTGTTAATGCTGAAGATGGCCTGCATTTTCTGGAACAGTACACCAGGGGGCAACCACAACAACTTGTCAGGAGCTGTCAACATTTGACTGATGGTTCAGGGTATGCAAAGGCAAAGACTTTACTGCATGAACACTTTGGAAACGAGCATATGATAGCATCTGCCTATTTGGATAGGGTCTCTTCATGGCCAGTGATTAAGCCAGAAGATGCTGCCAGCTGCCATTATGATCACCGTGATTAAAAGATTACCCTACAAATTGAGAGATTTGTGGCGAACAGTGTCAAGTGGCATCCAGAAAACGCATCAACGGAGAGCTATTTTTGCTGATATTGTGGATTTTATGGAGCGTCAAGTGAAGATTATAACCGATCCTGTGTTTGGAAATCTACAGGATGTACCAGTGTTGGTGGCAAATAAAGAAGGCGGCAGGACAAGATCACTTCACTCAGGGGCTAAGGGAAGTAGCTTTGCCACTGCTGCTACTACAGTTGAAAAGACACTAACAGAACACAGGGTTAAAGATGGACATTTACCTGAAAGGGTTTGCCTGTACTGCAAAGGTGGAGACGTGCTGGAGTTTTGTACTCTGCTGGAGAAGAGAGCTCAAAGTGAGAAGATTGATTTCCTGAAAAAGAATGGAGTTTGTTTTGGCTGTTTGTGTACTGGTCACATCAGTAAGGAGTGTAGGAAACGTCTCTCTTGCAAAACATGTGGCTCAAGGCACCCTAGCATGCTTCACATCCACCACAAGGACAGAAGAGCAGATGCAGAGAAGGGTAAGAGCAACTCGGAGAGTGCAGTGGGCAGTTCTTTGGTTGCAGTCCAAACCAGTGGTCTTACTGGGGCCTGCGAAGAAGATTTCAAGCTCGCCATCGTACCAGTAAAGGTGAAATCAAAGAGTGGGCAAAGGATAGTGGAGACCTATGCCTTTTTGGACCAGGGCAGTTCAGCATCCTTCTGCACAATGGGTTTGATGGATAGATTGAATCTCTCCGGGAGAAAAACAAAGATTCTTTTGCGCACCATGGGCCAAGAGATAATTGTGGACAGTTGTATTGTGTCAGACTTAGAAGTGGCTGGTTTGGACAGTGGCTGGTCCTGTGAAATGCCAGATATCTTCACACAACCTAGGATGCCTGTAAGTAGGAGTAATATCCCACAACAGGAGGATTTGCATAAATGGCCTCATTTGAAACATGTGTTCTTGCCTGAGATAGATACAGATGTGGAGCTTCTGATAGGCATGAACGTACCCAGAGCTTTGGAACCACTTGAAATCATCCGGAGTGTGGACGAAGGGCCGTATGCCATCAAGACTATGCTTGGTTGGA